TCCCGGGGAGCCCCTCGGTCGCCGCGAGGCCGAAGCGCGGCGCCCTTGGGGTTTGCCCAAAGGCGGAAGATAAACGGAAGAGCTCAGCGCAGCTTTAAAACAGCTGCCGCTCGCTCGTAACAAAACGTGAAAGATTTTAACGGCTCATACCAAACGCGACAACTCACCAAAGGGCCACGTGGTGCAAATGCAGCTCCAGTTACTTGAGCTCCTGCGTCCTTAACGCAGTTGGTTCCTGTATCTGCATTTCAGACCACTGAACGTGTGTGGTTTTGCATGAACACAGCCACTGCTTTATTTAATGATGATTTCTTCAAAATACACTCCCCTGAACGTGCAGGCTTAGGATGCTGCTTATAGTGTACTTTCAGCCTGTCCTTGTGAGTGGAAAGCAGAGCATGTCAAAATGCTAAGCGGATTTACTGCTAGGATTCTCTCTGGAATTTTATTACCTTCACGTTTACTGTGAAAGAAAACAAAGATTTTCACAGACCTGTCATGGCTGATAGGTTAATTACCGGGGGAGATAGGTCATGGCCTGTGTGAAAACTTCATGGGTCTTCTCAAGTATAAAGCTTCAAAATCCTTAATGATCACGCGTGATGCTGTAATCTGGTTTTACATACTTGGGTCGCACACCGAGACCCACCTTTCTCGTCTTTTTCTCATACAGTAGAAACGTTTACCAAGCACGAGCAAGAGCCCTGGGCCTTGCTTGCCAAATCAGCTCCTCCGGGGCTAGCAGGGGCAGTGAGAGGGCAAAGGTGGTCGGTGTGGGGGACCGAAAAAACCCTTCACATTACCTGCGAGGGAGCTGATGGAGAGGATGCTTTTAGTTCCAGTTTTCTGCCTGTGGTGTCCCTGAGGGTGGCTCAGCCGGTTCTGGCGAGGAGTTGGACCCCCAGGCAGTGCCACTGCCTGGCGACAGGGCTGGGTGGCTCTTGCCCTGGAAGAGGTCCTGCCCGTTTTCTCCAGAGGAGCTCCAAGAAGATGCTTCACCACCATCCGTACCAGTAGTGCTGTGCCTGTGCCTGTGCTGAAGGGCGGGGAGAGGGAGTTACTTCGCTTTCAGGAGCGTTCGTCTGCTTCACGAGGAGAAGAAAAATTGCTAAAAGATCTTCTTTCCCTAGAGCACATTCCCTGGGTGCGTATGAGAAACCGGGTTCGTTCTGTTCAGCAGATTTAAAATAGAATTAAGCTATCTATCTCTAGCTTTCCAAAAGGTAACTCTTCATTCAGAGTGTGTTTTCATATGTATTACTAACTGTATTTTAATCCCCTCCTGCAAGGAACATATTTTAAAGGCTTACACCTCATCACCGTGAAGCATTTGTGCCCGTGAGGCGCCCACGCCGTCACTCGGTGCGTCTCCTTCGCGCGCAGGCCTGCGGCTGCCCGTGACGTGGTTTTGCACAAGCACGTGGCTGTTGGCGGGAGGTTGTTGTGGCCCAGTGAGGTGTATGTTGTTCCCTTTGCTGTTTTGTTTGGGTTTGTTTTGTTTTTAACCTCCCTACAGTGCACCAGTGGTTTAGGTCTCTGCGAGGCCTCAAATTTTACCCAGTTTGAAATTGCATGACCACTACCAAGCGGTGGGACTGTAGCTGAAGTAAGTGGCTGCTGAAGTCCCACGGCACCGTATCAGCCAGTTTGGCAAAAGTTGAAGGGAGGTGACTGACTGTAAGTTCCAACTTCTGCCAACATTTCCTCCCTCTGTGTTTTCAATCAGCAGCCTGACAGGGGCCAGGAGGAGCCTGCGGGCCCCCATTTCTCTCCAGGTCCCGAGGGGGCTGAGGTGAACTTTCTCTCGGGAGTTGCCCTTACAGCTGGTGCCCACCATTTGCCGCGATGCCCCCAGCCTGACCATCACGCGAGCGCAACGGGTGTGCTGTTCCTGTATTTATATGATTTTGTGTTCTCTCCCTTTAGATTAGAATATGTAATGGTCTCGTTACGGTAATTCCCACAGGTAAGAGCGATGCTTCCCGCAGGCCCCACGGCGTTGTGCTTCATCACTGTCAGCTCTCCTTCTCCACCTCCTTCTGCTTCTCCTTCTGCTCCTCTTCCTCCTCCCCTTCCTGTGCTCGGCGCGCGGCCGCGGCGGCTCTGGGGCTCTCTGGGTCTGTCTCTGCCTGTCGCTGTTGCCACAGCCCCGTGTCCTCCCGCTGCCGGCGCACAGAGCCCCGGGGGTGCCCAGTGCCCGGCCGGGCGGCTCCCTCTGCTCCCCCCGGCCGTGCTGGGAAGCGTTCGGGGCATGGCTGGGCCCCACGGCCCGTGTGTTTGTGGCCGGGGCACCACGGGATGGGATCGGGGCAGCAAAATTTCACATGTTCCCTGAGTTGTAAATTTTAAGCACTCCCGCTGGTCCACCCGCGAGTCAGAAACTAGTATTTTTTTATCTACTACATCACAGTGGAGCTCCTGCTTCGTTTTTAAAACAAACCCTCCTCCACATCACTGCAAAAAGAAGGAGAGCCAAGCCTCTCACCAGCATCTTGACACCCGTGCAGCCATGATGCTGCCGCTTGTCCCGGGCACGTGCCGGTGGGCGCGCGGGGCCCAGCCCGGCTTCTCTCCCCGGCGCGGCCGAGCGCGCGGAGCCTCGCCCCCCAGCAAAGCCGCAGGCTCCCCTTGCAAGACGGCCAAGTCATTAGAGTTCGTGGCAGACGGCTTGCAGGTGGGATTATCATATTTGTATGAGAGAGCCTTTATCTTCGGTGGCGATCGCTTGCTCGCTCCGCAGCTGCCATCTCCCTCTCAATCACGGCGGTTTCGGGGGAGCTCCGAGGCTGAGGGCGTAGCGGAGGGCTCGCCGGAGGGAAGTCGGGACTGAAGGAATGTGCCGGCTCCCGAGGCGGGCGGGCGCTGCGGGTGCCCCCGGCGCGAGGGGTCCCCGGCCCGCGCCCCCGCCTGCCCCCGCCGCCCCGCTTTCCATATGCGCAGGCGATGCGTTGTTCAGCGCTTGCATGAATATTGCTCGAGCTTGTCCATTTGGTGAAAACTGTATTATTTTGACCATCTGCCGTTCTGCTTAACTGCAGGAATGTAAAGTACGACACCTCCCTCACCGCCCTTCCCTCCCCCACGCTTTTCTCCCCGCAAACAGCACCGCAGGTTTTGTTTTTAATCCAAAACTGACAGCTCCACATTTTTTCACAGAAAATGCCTTTACACGCTAAGTCACATTTTTCACCTTTTTTTTAATGCGATAGTTCCCCTTCAGTCAATTGTCTTGAAGTAGAAATCTGGTAAGTAAAGACTCTCTTTGAAATGCAAACGCCGGTTTGCAAACTGGCTGAGGGATTTCAGAGGAGGTGATTTGGGTTGAGCTGCAGCTTCGCTCCTTTGAGTCACTGAAAATATCTAGAGTCCTAAAGGAGGAGGACAGAGTTTTAACCCTTGTAGCGAGGAAAGAGAACGCGATGCTGCCTGTGCCCAGCAAACTCTGTGGAGTTTCCGAGCGTTATTCCCGAGAAGTGACGGGACCGACGCAAGCTGTGGGAACGCACAGAGCGGGGCCGCTGTAGCCCCTCGTGCTGGGCCGAGGTAGGCTGCAGTGTTTGCAGTGGGGTTTAAAACACCAGGAATCACTCGAGCCGCGTGTTGAAAACGCAGCCGAGTCACCCGGGGGCTTTGCCCTCGGGAGGTAAACCGGGCGCCCGCCGGGCCCCGCGCTGGGGCCTTGCTAAACCAGAGGCCTCCGGCCGCGCTTCACGGCGCAAGGCTGGGCCCGGGCCCGAGCGAGGCTCTCCCTGCTCCCCGGCGCCTGGGCTCACGAAGGGCGTGTTAAAGACATCCCTGTAATCACCCCTCACCTCAACTAACGGCAAATAAGAGGCGCGGCTTGAAAATCGAGCTTTGTGTTGGAATTGGGTCGGTGGTCGCAGGGCTGCCGCTCCGGCCAGCCTTCGGCGTGGGCTGGGCGCCCCCCTCCCTCCTCCCCGGCGGGCTCGCGAGCGCCAGGCTGTCCCTCCGCCCCCCCTCTAACCAAAACCTTTGCGGGAAGGCTGGCGGAGGCCTGGAAACGGCGTTTAGAAATGCCAGGGGAGCTGATGAAACGACTCCCGCAGCGCCCTGGGACGGGCCAGAACCGCGGCAGCAAGAGCAAGGCTGGGTTGCAGCATGTGTGTCCCTGTTCCCCCCGGCACCGCCGCAGCCACGCGGGAGGGGCAGGACCAGCACACGCGCCTATTTAGTCCCAGCCTCTAGTTGTAATCACCTGTGGGAGATAACTACGGTGGAACCTAATGTTGTTGAACAACAAAGCGTAAACACATGCAGACAGCTGCCCAGGTTCCCCAGCCCACAGATAAACTTCCTGAATGGCGGCCGTGAGCGCGCCGAGAACGATGGGTCTTAGTGTCCCGTTTAACTAGTGGAACTAATTAGAAAAAATTAGGACTTTTTGTTTTGTTTCTTAATCATCAGAGCCTAAGACACCTTCCAGGGAGAGTTTCATGAGAGCATTTGCACAATGGAAACTCGTTTTGAGCTCTCTGTAGTAGATTAAATACAGAAGAGCCGTTTAGTGACACATGGCAAAAAATAACTTTATAAAACACACACTTGAAAGAAAAATTTTTTGAGTTGCAGCCTGCGGGCTTTGTTGGAGCTTGGAGAGAGCGGGATGGGTGCATCCACCCCCCCGGTGCGGGGCTGCGGCAGTACCTTGGGCACCGGGCTGCGGGTGGCTGCTGGCCCAAGTGGGGCCACTGCTGGCCCAAGTGGGGCCACAGCCACTGGGGCTCCCGCTTGGGCACTGCCAACTGCTCCCAGCCCGGCTGCCCCTCGCTTCTTAGGGAAGCTGGCAAAGAGAAATTCCTTATTTCCCCCGGAAAGCACAGTAGGGCAGTTCCTCAGCTGCCTGGGCCAAATTTCTGCTACGAATGTCCAGACCCGAGATTAATTTGGAAGGGGAGGTGCAGAGGGGGCTGGTGCGAAGGCAGGCGGGCTGTTTCTCTCCTCATGGTGTTTTTTTGCCCTCTGCCCGTCCTGTTTTCCAGGCTGCCTCACCACAAGCGCAAGCGCTGACCTCACTGTCGCCGTAGGACTAGAGCTCGAGCAGACCTCGCCCGCGCTACCACGTGCCTCCAAGAGCAGAGTCTCCGGGAAGCTCCGCCGCTCCGCCAGCGCCCTCAGCAAGTCTTCCAACTGAGGCGCTGCGGGAGCACAGCTCCGGCCCGGGGGCCCCGAGGGGCCCTAAAACGGAGAAATTATTTACGGCCTCGGTAGAGCTTGCGGTTTGGGGCGAGCGCGCGTTGAAGGGGACGGGCGAGGGGTTTGCTCTGGCAAATTGCGGTTCTGGCATTCGGTCAGGTGGCACCTGCGTGCGTTACCGTCGCGCGGTTCCCTCGGTCGCCAGGAGCCGGCGGGAACGGCAGCTCCCGCCGCCCGTGTGGCGCCCGGCGAGAGGCCACGGACCAGCACCGAGACCGGTTGTTTAATGTGACTTCAGAGCGTTGCTTTTAGTCATTCCGGTCGACACCGAATTGCGTATTAGGGAATTTTGTCTCTAAGGAGAGTTTTCCCGTAGGACTGGCCACCTAACAGGCGCTCCCCTCCTCTGGAGCGTGGCTGACTGACGGCGGTGCCTTCCGGTCGGTGTCCACCTCCGCTCCCCCTCTGGTGTCCGCGGCCGTCCGAGGAGGTCGCTCACCTGCCGTTCGGGTTTCACGAAGTGGCAGCACCTGCGCCAAAATCCGTTTAACCCTGGCCCATCTTGCTCGAGGCCGCCCGCCCCTACCCACCGTGTGACATCCTGAGGCCGAAGGTGCCCCGGCCGCCGCTCGGTGCCCAGCAGGGGCTGCCTGAGGTGCCGCTCCCTTGGCAGCTGCGGCGCCCGCCGGGCCCAGCCACAAACCATCGCGTTTATTTTCCACAGAAACCCTCTTTCCCGGCGCTGGCTTTGGCTCTGGGATCGCTCTGTCGGCTGCCGTGGCGCACGCCAGGGCTGCGTGCTGTCCGCTGCTCGCTAGACAAGTAACTGACTTCCCCCTTCGAGGAGCGAATGGCGCACGTTTGCCACGCCGCCGGCTCACCCGCGGCTGGAGTAATGGGGCAGGACACCTCCCGGGCATCCGCCTCGCCCCGCGGCAGCGCTCTGCCACCCGACGCATCCCCCGGTAGAGTAAAATCAATCGGAAAGCTCCCGAGGACGCGCAGCGTCCTCCTGGCACTTTGTAGTAAGCAAATCTTGTCTTTTCAGTAGGAAGCGTATTTCAGTCTGCGCGTGTCGTAGCTTTCTAGGGGTGATAATTTTTATAGCTAAACAACCTCGTGTTGTAAAAACGAAGGAGCGCTGGGGGGGACCCCGTGGCCACGGGGCGGGAGCGAGGCTGCCCAGACCGAGGGCAGGAATCTGCCAACGCGCGAGGGGAGGGGGTGGCCATAAAGCGAATAATACTCTCTTAACGTTATTTTTTTGATGTTTCGAACGTGGGTGTCAGCCCCCCCCAGCCCCCGCCCGGGCTCTGGGGCGCGTTGTTGCTTTCTGTTCTGGTTTGCTTTGTTTTGCTCCTCGGCATTCAAACGCGCACCCCTGGGCTCGATGTGATTTGGTTTAAGTGAAGGGGATTTGGGTTTTGGTGAAGCAAAATGCACCGTTGGGCCACCGTTTTTTTTTTTTTAGTTTGTTTTTTTTTGTTTGGTTGGTTGGTTTTTTTCCACTTCTTAGGTGTGAACGTCTGCCTCCCTGCGCGTCGGCCTCCAGCCCCGTGACCTCCCTGTGAATACGGGACAGTATTTTATAAATACTGCCGGTGACACGGCGGCAGCCCGGCGCTTTGCGGGGGGCTCTGCGGCGCGAGGTGCCGCCGCGCGCCCTCGCTGCCCCGGCTGGAGCCTGGCTCACGCAGCCCCCCTCGTCGGCGAGGGGGTTCCACTGCCACGTGGGTTTTCTGCCTCACGTTCGGGTTTTGCTTTCTACTGATGGCGTGTCGGTAAAGGAAATTAGAAAATGAAATGTGTATTTTTAATTTATTTTGTTTTCAGGACTGGATAGGCGAGGCTGTCTTGTTCTTAGTTAGCCAATAAATGGTCTGAAATAATTTCAAAGGCAGTCTTCTGCCTAAAAGGAGACTTTTCTCGTTAGAGCAATACGCATCTCTCATTCAGGGAAGAATTAAAACACCGATGAAAATAGTATTTTCCTGATGTCAAAAAACTAAAAATATTAACTTGTCAAAATTCAGCTGTGGTTTTGTACCATGACCTGGCTAACAAAACTGTTCTCTTACACCCCACGCAAACCTAATAAATCTTTGCTCACAATAAAATTCTTGCAAGAGCACTAAGGAGGTGTGTGCCTGCGTGCTGGGGGGGTGCGGCCGCGGGGCTCTGGTGGGGCGGCAGGTGGGAGCGCGGAGCCACGGGCGCGCTGGGGACTGCGGGCGGGCGCCACACCATGACTGAAACGTGGGCACACCCCCACCCCCCCCCCCCAAAAAAAAAAAAATTCACGCCTCGCACTCGCCTCTGTATTGGGAATTTGGGGGGTGTGGGGGGGAGCCCAGAACCTCAGCGATGCCGTTCGCGACCCAGCGCCCGGCTCCCAGCCCTGTGGGGCAACGGGGCCGGCCCGGCCCTCGCTGGGACACGCGGGCCGGAAGGGAACGCACGGCCGGGTCGGCCGTTGCTGATAATAATTCCAGAAACCCCACAGGACGTTATTTATAGACTATTCAGGACAAGGAACGCGTGATGCCGGGGCTTCCCGCTCCAGGCCCTGTAAGCGCCTTCTTGCTGAGCCACCTGCATCAGCACCACGGCCAGGACGCTTCCAGCGGCGATTTTCCACCCTCCGGAGCCATCACTGAGGGGAAGGAGCGGGGTCTGTGCTCTCAGTCACAGTTACGTCGGGGCGCTTCCACGTTACCCCCCGCTTATTGCCGGTGGGACGGCGGGGCCGTTATTTGGCGGTAGGAAAGGACGCTCGGAGATGCCAGCTCCTTCGCTGAGGAGAGCCGGCCGAGTTCCCCCTTACATTGCTTTCAGGTGCTTGAGCTGGGAATGGAGAATGACTCCGGGCGGCTCCAGCTGAAGCCCTGCACTGCTCCCCGCCCAGCAGGGGCGCGGGGATGGGGATTTGCACAAACGCCCCTGCCCTGACACCCCCACACCCCCCCCCCCCCCACACACACACACCACCCCCCCTGCCCCCAGCCCCAGCAGCCGCCCCCAGCAGGCAGGAGCACGGCCACAGCCACACACAGGGAAAATAAAAAATTGAATTAAATTAAATTAAATTAAACTATAGCACTTATACATAAAAACGCCTCATATTTTTTATGTCTTATCATATCTATTAATATGTTCTAGATTATATCATTTTATAACCCTTATGTGTATCATATTTATCATAGTATATCTAATTATACATCTCATATTTTATGTACATCTTTATATTAGATATAGTCTATATTATAGCTATTAAATATACACTGATATCTATATAATGTTATAATAGACATACTACACATAATCTGATCATCTATGGATTATCTAATGTATATCATATGATGTAAATTATATAACTTTGTATTATACTATATATGTACTATATAGTATATTATCCATACATTAATATTTAACAAAATTATGATTATTTTATCAAAATATGGGCTATGGGCTACAAATATACTATATATTACATATACATTATATATGTATATCTATATATGCACACATACCTAGTGTAACTTTATAGATATATGTATACATTACTATATAAACTATAACATTGCTATATAAAGTATAATATTGTATGCATAATATATATATGCACTATACTTGTATTTTCTAATCTAAGGGAATTATAGTTATATAATCTCAGCAATGTATGAATAATATCTCTGATAGATTATATCACGCATATATAATACATTCTATCTTCCATAATGCATATATAATATACATCATAGAATATTCAATGCACTGTGTAGAATACAGTATATAGTACTGTAATTACAGATTATGCATAACATGTATGTATGTTATGTATGCATACATATGGGCACCTACACCTGTACCTATCTATATATGTATGTATACATGTACATACACAACAGTGCCTTATATAATGCATACTCTGTACTCCGTAGCTTTGGATATTATTGGTTGTTATTATTATTATTATTATTATTATTATTATTATTATTATTATTATTATTATTATTATTATTATTATATGGATATTATATGGCTATTCCATAGCCATAATATACAAATTATGGCTACAATGCTAATAAATTCTGTAAGATGTTATTATTTCATTACATGAATCTTGATAATTATCAATAATGATCTATAATGCATATATATTATGTGCTGTATATAAGGTATTACAAATACGCACTATATATTAGGCTACATATCACTTCTAATATACATATTATATGTTATAATTTATATTGTCATATAATAGGTATTACCTATTAGATATGATCTATTATTTGTAATATATACTGTACTACATACTAGGAAGTATACTTACAGGGATAGTATAGATAAAATATGCTAGTGTAAAAAAGGCATATAATTTTTGTATTTATTTTACGTAGAATTAGGATTTATTATGCATAATAAATGCTGTATTTCTTGTGTGTGCATGTAGCTAACAGCAGCCGTTCAGGTCGGCATCCCGTGCCGCTGCCTGCCCTCCTCCCCAGGTTTCTCCTTCCAGCTGCTGGCACAGTACGGCTGATTTACGTATGAAAACCTGCAAAATCAGGCAATAAACCGGCAGCGTGGCTCCTGCCCCGCCGCTGAGCGGAGTCTCTCCCCCAGGCCCCGGCACGGCGTCGTCTCAAACACCGGCTGCCATCCCCTTCCCCAGCACGCGGGACGAGGCTGAAACAGTTTGTCTAGAACCGAGCGTGGGTAAAAGGCACGCGGGGCGCAGAGCTGCGAGGGCCTGTCATTATCATTTCAAAATAATGATTTTTTCCTCAAAAGTAACAGGTGATTTAACCGGAGCTGGCGGACGGCCGTTGAAAGTGACACCCAAGCTACCGAAAAGCGCCGGTGCCCCCTCTCCCCGTGCCACCACCCCGCCACAGCCTCTCCCTGCCCGTCCCGATGACAGCGGCTCACAATAACACCGGGACGTTTGTGCCGTTGCTAGACCCCACGTACCGTTCCGGCCACGCGCTTAGATTAAATCCCATTTCCTCAAAAAGAGCCTGCCCCGTGTCCCGCCCCGGCGCCTCGATCCGTGGGACAGCCCAGTCCTTCCGCGAGGCCTGGCGTGCCCAGCGCTTCCACCAGGCAGCCTTCTGTTACGCGGAGCGTAAACGAAATTTAAGGAAACTATTTAAAGCCTTAACGAGGCTTTTTATCTGCACGGAAGGCGTTGAGATGTTCCCATGCCACGTGCAAAATGCAAACAGCCCGGCAACCCACGTCCTTCACCCAGGGGACTCGGCCCTGTCCCGCCGGGACCCAGCACCCTCGCAGGCGGGTGGTGGGACGGGAGGTGTCGGTCCCCCACAGCACCCCACAGCACCCCGCTGAGGATGGACGGGCAGAAACACCCACAGCTCCCTGAGCTGTTTTTCCTTCCTGCTAGCTCACCAAAAGGCAACAGAGGTTTTTTGAACGGGTTAGTGCACAGGAAAGGTCTGGGATCCCAAGAAAAGCCCCGTCCCTGGCCCGTTCCTGGGGACACCCCCCCGGAGCCGCAGCAGAAGACACCCGGCGAGGCCAGGCCGCCACACGCACAGCCAACCCCCCCAAACCTCTGGCTGTGCCCTGCCGCGCTTCCCCAGGACTCCCCCAGGCAAGGCGGCCGACAGACGCACCTACTGCGTCCTGACGACGTTACCGGCCCCAAAAGTTGCTAAAAAATTAACACTCGAGCAGCATCACCACCGAGGGCATTCCTCTGGCGGCGGCCACGCTGGCGGGGACCCCACCGGCAGGGAAAGCTCTTCCCAGCCTCTCGCTAGCACGGCGCCCGCGGCTCAGTGACGGTGTGCGAGCCGCATTTTTCAGGACCCTGAAGGTTCCTGTAATTAATCTCCCCGGTTCCTTTCAGTTTGCAAACAATCCCTTTCAGACCATGTGTTCAGCTCTTTGTGTGCGAGGAGAGGAGAGGAAGGCTCCGGCGGTTTGCAAACGCCTCTGCCCGTGCGCGCGGAGCGCCAGCAGCCTCCCAGAACGGGAACCCGCGACACGTTTTGGGTAGGATCGGCATTTTCCGCGGTGCCCGAACCTGTTCCCGCTGCATGCGTGGAGAGTCGGCAGGCAAATTGATTTGTTAGCTGACAGCAGGAGGCTTTGTTTGCACAGCGCCGGCCGGCCTGCGCTGCCGGATGGCGAGAACATGGCACCGAAACGGCAGCACCTGCATTCCCAGAGCCGAGGAGAGGAGGGACGCTGACCGAGCCGCCCGGCAGCTCGCTCTGCCAAGGCTGCTGCAGCCCCGCAGTGCCAACAGCCATCCCTCTCCCCCCCTCCCCCCCGCAGTTCTACAGAAGGAGGGGGCGAACGGAGCCCAGTTACCAAAGTACTCCAGACTCCCCTCTCCTTACTCCAACCAAAAATATGAGCCTCCACTACTCACGCTTTCCCGTGCAATGCGTGTTTCCGTCAGCACAAGATGCCAAAGCGGGGGTGCTGACGGCTACCCTGACCGTTCCCCGCAAACCTGGGGCATTCTTCTGACCCCAGCAGATTTTATCTGACCCCTACCGAGGCAGGCACCCATTTACTTCACTACTGGGAAATCGATACGGCCACAAAGCAGTTGCTTCGCGGCCTGTCAGTGCCACTGCGCTCAGAGCCAAGATTTCAGCCGGGGCGCGGCTGCGAGGATGCGCATGGAGCCTCTCCCCGGGATGCGCTGGCCCGTCGGTCCCGAAACGGTGTCGGGCGGCGCGAGCGGAGGGTCCCGGTGCCCGGGGCAGCTCCCGTCGGGCAGCTCCCGCCGCGCACGGGCGGGCTGCCGGGCCCACGGAGTGCTGCCACGCACCGGGTTCTGCCAGCCCACCTCCCGGGGCTTTCCCGGGCCGGGGAAGCCGGGAAAAGCCAAACCACACTTCTCGCCAAGCATGTTTTGCTGCCTGTATCTCTCTGTCAGGCTGTTGAGGCCACGTTCTCTTTTTCAGTGTATCAATTTACAGCGAAAACCACAGCTTCGCCTAGACCTGAAGTCAGTCCTGGGATAACGAAGTTGGTTTCCTAGGAATCAAGGCAGGAGGAGCGTACTGGCTCTGGTGCTTTTTAGCCTGACTGAGCAAGAAGGAAAAAAAAAAAAACAAAACCTTTCTCTAGAAAGATTTTTTTTTTTTC